AATTGGCTACAGACTATTAGTATGAATAAACAAGTTCAGAAAAGTAACACAATAGAAGATAAATTTACTAAAATAAATTATATTTTTACATTATTTTAACATTGCTAAAATACATATTCTTTAACTGAAGAGTAAAAGAAAAGGGAAAGTGAGAAAGCACCCAAATGGGCCATAGTCATGCTGTAACTATTTACCCTCCACCTCTCCCTTCTTTTGAGATTTTGGCTATGACTTCATACACACCTCACACATTTCTCAAGCCAGATACCGGAACTGAACTATGCAGTCTGCCATGTGGGATCCGGCTGCCTTAACTTCACAGAGTTGAAGAGTAAAAGAAAAGGGAAAGTGAGAAAGCACCCAAATGGGCCATAGTCATGCTGTAACTATTTACCCTCCACCTCTCCCTTCTTTTGAGATTTTGGCTATGACTTCATACACACCTCACACATTTCTCAAGCCAGATACCGGAACTGAACTATGCAGTCTGCCATGTGGGATCCGGCTGCCTTAACTTCACAGAGTTGACCCCTTAGGTCAATTATTCCCTTAGGAATAATTATAACAAGAAAAGGATAAACTTGAACAATGAAAACTGTAATACATTGCCAATGTTGGAAATAACTCACAACACTGAGTCTCCTTTCCATGTTTCTAGAAAATTTACCATCCTAGTAAGAAGATAGAGATTGTTTCTTGGTCTGTTACTAGAGGTGAGCCCAAGGTAAGGTCTACAAATGCCAATGTGTATTACGGCCTCCATTTTCTTCTTCTTCTTCTTTTTTTGTAGGCATTATTTACCTTATTTTATTTATTACTGCTTTTAAATTTGATCAGAGAGAGATGGAGAGAAAGAGAAAGTGAGAAAGGAAGCTTCCAGGTCCAGGACTAGACATGTTTCACCCCTGTGGAAATCCAGCACTTTAAACACCACATAACCTGTTGACCCTTATTGTTTCCACGTTAAAACACAGAAAACTAAAGTCCACAAAGGGAGTAAACAACACCTATGTTTTAGAGGTGAGAATGTCAGGGATTGACTCCCCCACTCACCCCTTGCCAATCATCCTGTATTTAAATAATCCCCCCAATAACATATCAATATGTGCTTAAGAGAGACCTGATATCCAAGATGGGAGGAAGAGAGGTCAGGGATTCAAAACTAGAAGGTGAGAGAGTACTGTGGTGATCAAGACTAAGTTCTTTGTGTTTATAGAACAGAGTCACTGAAAGACACTTACAGCATCAGAGAAGATACAGGAATTTGAACATGGCAGGGCTTATAACAGGAAAAACAAAAATCAGGGATATGTCTTGAACATAATGTCTCTTACACCCCCTCCAGTTATCACTCCCAATCTTTACCCACTTTTTATACTATTCCCTCATTTCACCACTCCATTCTAACATTAACCCTGATGAATCAGGATGGGGATTTGGGGGCCAGCAGGTGGCCTGGTGACCCCCACATGGCGGAGTGTGGCTGGAGTCCCAGACCTGGTGGCTTGCTTTTTCACTTTCCTTTCTCTCACTTACTCTTTCTCTGGTCAAATTAATAATAATAATAATAATAATAATAATAAATATAATTAAATAAAATAATTTTTAAAAAGATGGTTAGTTCTCTGTTTGAAAAGAAACTCAGTGATAGCAAAATGTATATGAAATCCCTCCTGGCCTGGTTTGTGGACAAAATCAAGGAAGCATAGATAAGTCAGGTACGTCTCTCACACACAGACACACCCCAAATAATTAAAGATTTGTTAGATAAAACATGAGAGCTTTTGGTCAAGTAATTATTGGACAGTTGAAGTGTACATAGGCTTGCAATATGAAAAACACCTGTCCCATTATTCTGCTGTCTTATCTTAAAAATATACTAGAACGGTTTTCCAACTGTAATAACGTTATTTTTATTTTTTTAAGAGAGGTTTTCGCTATAGGGTGCATGCGCTTGCTAGACAGACAGAGAGAGACATAGAGACAGAAAGCGAGAAATCACCCCCCAGGGGAGATGGCCACGCCACAATCCCTTCTCCTCCATTCTCCTCTCGGGATCTTGGGCACGCACGCACACGCTCCCGGCGTGAGTTTTAAGCCACCGGGTCCGGGACGCGAACCGCGGTCGACTACGTGGGAGTCCGGCGACATAGCCATTATGCTAACTGCTGGTTCCCAAGAATAAACATATTTTAATGACTGCAAGAGAATTACCATAGTAATTATCTGTTTTTTAATAACCTATAACACATCATTTTTCATTTTTTAGATTCATTACTAAAAAGAGTCAGTGGTCATATAACAGGAATAACTTTATCAGAATAACAAAAGTGTTGAATTATTTATTAATGTCATTGAATAAGTGACCCGCGTATGAATTTCCTCATTATTCCTGAAATGTCAAACCAGGATTTAATAATGAACCAGGATCCTGTCTCTCACTCACCTGAATAGAGCCTGTTCCTCTCCCTTCAGGTTCTGCTCTCCTGGTAACAGAACTCCTTCGGTGAAAACACAGGAACCTTCACATTGCTGCTTAATCTAGAATCGCAGAGCCTTGTGGGAAATGTAGTCTCTGCTCTGATGTCGTCATCAGCACAGGCCGAGGAGGGCGCCTTTTTCAGAATCTCTCTCCGGCTGTGAAGCTCAGTTCCTTCCTGTGGAGGCTGGGGAGAACCTGCTGCTGTGCTGACTGTGTTCTGCTGGACACGGTGTCCATGACGGTGAGTCTGAGTGTGAAGGAGGAGGGTTGCGGGTTTTGAGGACCCTAGTAGTAGAAAGGTTGCCCTCTTCTTGGTGGGAGCAGAAACTTGGGGGGATGTCGGGTAGAGGAAGAGGGGCGCCTGAAGGAAGTTGCAGCCCCTGGTCCAGGCTGGGTGGGGAGAGCAACTGGAGCGTTGGGATGTGCAGGTCTGGGGTGAGGAAAGATGTGACCTGGGCTTTCCTTCAGTAGCTGCTTTGTCAGTAGGTGGGTGTGTGCATTCAGGTGTACAAAGGTGACTCCAGAAGCTCCTGAATGGGGTGATCTAATCCAAGCTGGGCACAGAGTCGGTTTGTTATATATTGATCAGCGAGAAAGAAGAGGACATCCAGTCATAGCGCAGTTATAGGAGTTTATAACCAGCGACTGTGGGAGCACTCATTTCAGTCAAAGACCCCGCAGCCCCGAGTGTACGGAGAAGAGTGCTTATAAAGGCAAAAAGCACATTTGCGTTAATGTGGCCTGTGGATAGAAGTCTGACTACTTTTCCTATTTTCCAAAATCTTTTCAAAAGGGACTGGGGAAGTCATGCCCACAAACATTAACAGACCATTTATTTTCTATTAACAGGATTCTTCCTACCTCCT